TGGGTCTGCAGGACACTGGGATGTTGTGGTGGATTTTCTGATAATCCTGATACAGGGCGCTGGGCGTAGAAATCTGTGACTCTTCACCAGTTGCTCATAGAATTTAAGAAGCTTCTCGGATGAAATGTCTTCAAGAAACTTAAAGAAGTCCATATGCTTTTCTTTCTAAGCTCCTTAGACTGGTTTACAGATAATTTCTTGCCAATTTTCTTCCTAATTTCCTTAAAACTCTGGTCTGAGTCTGGTCATATATAATGACATCATTATACTGATTACTTTTCAATCACAAAAACATTTTTTTCACTGTAACTTAAACACGTGGTGACGGTTTCCAGCACAGATTTGTGAAATGAAACACTGTCAGTGTGGTAATATTACTGTGCAGTATTGCAGTTTGAAGTAAGGCATTGTCATTGGCAGGTGCTGACTCACCTGAGGATCTCGTCTCACATTGGGATCGGCGTTCTTATTGGTCTGTTGTATCTGGGTATCGGGAATGAAGCCAAGAAGGTTCTGAGTAACTCGGGGTTCCTCTTCTTCTCCATGCTGTTCCTCATGTTCGCCGCTCTGATGCCCACGGTGCTCACCTGTGAGTCCGCCTCAAGCTGCTGTGTCACTTTACCTGCACACAGGTGACGTTTGAGTAAGATCAGGGTGTCATCGACGTAACAAATACATCACAGAGTCGAGCTGGAGAGCAGCTGTTATCTGTCCTTCATCGGCTTGTGTAACACGAGGTCTGCTGTTACAAAGGTGGACAGAACAACAGACCTCCATTTATCCTACCTGCAATACAACCTGTTTTAGTCCCTCCCCCTTAAAGACAACTTTGTTCTTATTGGCTTCCTCTTGTAAACAGAGGTTCTGAAGTGTTAGCCTCTCTGACATCACAGAGGTTCAAGCATAGAGCTGAGTGTTCAGAGGTGAGCTCAGCAACAGGTGCGTCACTTTTACCTGAACAGCACCAAAGGTGCCGGCTCTGACTCAGGAACTCTCTGTCTCATACACAATAAAACCTTTATTGATGTTCTCAGGGCCAAATCCTTAAACTGACACCCACAATTGCCAGGATTAATGACGGTAAAATCGTGTCTTTAAATTTGAGCTTTTCTGGGATTTTATGAGCTAGCAGT